CCTCCTCCTCCCCCTCCACCCTCTTCTCTCACTCCTGAGGATTTTGTCACCTTCTTTGAGGAGAAGGTTGATAGAATCCGCCAGTCTTTTCCCTCTGTCCCCACTCCTTTCACTAGACCTCCTCCTCTCGTTCTCAATCCCTTAAACTGTTTTTCTTCTCTTTCCACAGATGCTGTCTTTCAACTTATCAAATCCAGTAACCCAACAACCTGCTCGCTGGATCCCATTCCATCTGCATTGCTCCAGTCAATCTCAAAGGATCTACTGCCCTTCATCACTTTTCTCATTAACAAGTCCTTGTCATCAGGTGAAGTTCCATCAACTTGAAGACTGCAAGAGTACTTCCCATCCTGAAGAAGCCCACGCTTGACAGCTCTGATGTCAACAACTACAGACCGGTATCACTCCTTTCTTTCCTTTCAAAAATTCTTGAACATGCAATCTATAATCAACTGTCTCTCTTTCTCACACAGAACCAGCTCCAGGACCCCAACCAGTCTGGCTTCAAACCAGCGCACTCAACAGAAACTGCTCTTATAGCAGTGACAGAGAAGCCCCAGTCAGCAAGATCAGCCAGTCTGTCATCTGTCCTGATTCTTCTTGACCTCTCAACAGCTTTTGACACGGTCAACCACACAATCCTTCTGGACGTCCTCACCAACCTTGGAATCACTGGCTCTGCGTGGAAGTGGTTCAAGTCCTATCTGGAGGATCGCTCTTATCAGGTAACATAGAGAAGGGGACCCAGCACCGAGCCTTGTGGGCTTTTCTCTTTGCACTAGCTCTCTTGGCAATGTAATATCATCTCATGGCTTCTCTTATCACTGTCTGATGACACTCAACTAATGCTTTCTTTCTCACCCTCTGACACAGAGGTTTCCAGTTGGATCTCGGCATGTCTGTCTGACATCTCTTCATGGATGGCAGCTCACCACCTGAAGCTCAATTCTAGTAAGACTGAGCTGCTATTCATCCCTGCAACTACAGGTCCTCATCATGATCTTGCCATCTCATTCGAGAACTCTCTGATTGTCCCATCTGTAGAGGCAAGAAGTCTTGGTGTGGTTCTGGATGGCCAATTATCGTTCTCGACTCACATTGCGAACCTAACTCGGTCATGCAGATTTCTGCTGTTCAACATCCGGAGGATCCGACCCTTTCTCATTCGAGAGGCCACCCAGGTGCTAGTGCAGTCTCTTGTCATCTCAAGGCTTGACTACTGCAACTCGCTCTTGGCTGGTCTTCCGATGCGGCCATCAGGCCTCTGCAACTCATCCAGAATGAAGCAGCTCGGCTTGTCTTCAGTCTCCCAAAGTTCAGCCATGTCACCCCACTGCTGCGCTCCCTTCACTGGCTTCCTGTAGCTGCATCAGATTTAAAACCCTTATGCTTGCCTACAAAGCCAAAAATGGACCAGCCCCTCCCTACTTGATGGCAATGGTCAAAACTCGAACTGTACCACGAGCCCTTCGAGTACAGCTCGGCTTGACCCGCCATCCTTCAAAGTGCGCGGAAGGCAAGCATCAAGACTGTTCTCTGTGCTGGCACCCAGGTGGTGGAATGAACTCCCACTGGCTGTCCGTACAGCAGAGTCTCTCGCTGTCTTCAAACGCAGACTGAAGACTCACCTTTTTATACAGCACTTAAATGAGCACTGAATTAAGTATTGATTGTAATGTATTGTACAGCACTTATATAATGTATTGTATTGCATTGCATTGCACTGCTCTGTGTTTAACTCTGTTCCTTTTTCTCTAGGTGTCAATGACTTTCTGATTCTAGCAGTATCTGAGCTCAGGACTGGCTTTCTCTCTAACCTATTGGGAACTAGCGAAGATACTTTCTCTGGACAGACAAAGCACTTTTTGTAAGTCCCTCTGGATAAGAGTGTCTGCTAAATGATGTAAATGTAAATGTACTGCAGGACAGGTGAGGCAGAGACAGAGAAGAGAGAGACTGCAGGACAGGTGAGGTAGAGACAGAGAAGAGAGAGACTGCAGGACAGGTGAGGTAGAGACAGCGGAGAGAGACTGCAAGACAGGTTAGGTAGAGACAGGGGGGGTGTGAGTGCAGGACAGGTAAGGAAGAGACAGAGGAGAGAGAGACTGCAGGACAGGTGAGGTAGAGAGGGGGGGGGAGTGTGAGTGCAGGACAGGTAAGGAAGAGACAGAGGAGAGAGAGACTGCAGGACAGGTGAGGTAGAGACAGAGGAGAGAAAGCGTGGTCACTGCAGGACAGCCCTGCTGCTCCCGCTCAGTCAGTGCAGTTGAACACATTCCTTTCATAGCCAAAACTGCATGGACGCCCTTCAATTACTGTGTTCAACTATTCCAGCCCCCTCACAGCCACAGCCCTGCATATTTACACAATCTTGGTGAGTGTCAACTCGAGTCACAGTGACCAACACCTGGCAAGGTCTCAACTCTCTGCCTCCTGTTTCTGACCTTTGTGGTTGGGCTGTACTCTCTCTTAGCCAATCAGGAACTTTTAAGGGCAATTAACAGTGAATTTCACCAATTTTTCAAAAAATTTTACTTAATTAAAGGGTTAAGATGTAAACAGAGTCGTTCAGAGTGGTTTGGTGTGAAATGCTCTGTTCTAGAGAAACTTATCGTGAACTGTTCACAGTGGTGATGATAGGAACCAGACGTCCACCTCTAAAAGCTCCCTCACAGAAAGTTGCTACATGAAATGGTTATGAACTCACTGCATGATGACTGAGACAGCGAGTGCGTTTACATGCACTCAATAATCCGATAATAATCAGATTTCTTCCGTGTGAGTGTTTTATCAACACAAACGACCAGCTGCAGTTTCTCACACACACACTCACACACACACCAGCCGAGTCTCAGCCAATCAGACGACGATGCGGAGAAATGAAGCGAAACTGAAATGAAACGAGATCAACAAAGTCAAAATCATGAGATCATCAGAGGAAAACTGAGAAATGAGAAAAAAGATCAAAAGAAAAGAGATTAAGTTAATACTAATTTCATTACATTATGAGATCAAACACAGACGGTAATATCAGAGGTGAAGTTGTGAGATTAATGCTGTTAAATGAGGAGATTTACAGTGACACTGAGATGATCAGGTGGTGAAATCACACTAATGTTATTCAACGTGAGAGTGCCGTTGTGACAGAGACGCTCCAGTAACCGTGGAGACGACAGGGCCGTCAGTGCTGAACTCACCCAAAACGGTGAGCAGGACTTTCCTGCTGCGGATGCCAGGAAGCTTCTTCACTTTGCACCAGTAGGATCCGGTGTCAGACGCTTCCAGTCTCAGGAGGTTTATGGAGGCATCGCCGTTCTTCGGGTTGAGAGAGTCAAAGTGAACTCGGCCCTTCAGAGGAGGATAGTAATTCTCATAGAGCCGATAACCCGAATACACGATCACCTAGAGAGAGAGAGAGAGAGAGAGAGAGAGAGAGAGAGAGAGAAAGAGAAGATAAAATAATTAATGAATAATTCATAGTAGATATTAAATAATTTATTGTAGTCAATAATTCATTGTAGACACTGAATAATTCAGAGTAAACAGTGTACAACAATTATAAACATTAATAAATAAATACATTACGTAACAGAACCTGCTCACTCCAAACCAAGACCCGCTCACTCTGTGCCAGCACCTGTAGTCTGGAGTCCCAGAACCAGTAACGCAATTCAGATCCTCACTCATGTCATCTCCTGTGAGAAAAGCCATGTAATTGTCCACACTGGCACAAACGACCTAAGGGCACAGCAGGAAAGAGCAGCAGAGTGCGTGAGGAGAGTAGCACAGACCGCCACTCAGACCTTCCCCTCCACCAAGATCACCATCTCCACCATCCTGCCCCGGAGAGATTTCCACCCTGCTACCATCCAGAAGATAAACGCAGAAATCTCCCATGGATGCGCCTTTATGGCCAATGTACACCTGGCACACCATCCCAACCTCAGCTTGCACAGCCTCCACGACCATGTCCACTAGGGGTGCGGGGAAAAAATCGATTCTTAGATGCATTGCGATGCTAGTTTAGGCTAAACAATATAAACAAGAGCGCAGACTTACTTTGCTCTGCTTTAAGCTTTAGCTTTAGCCGCGTTCCTCTCCTTTCCGCCAGAAAACTTGTCCTCAAAAGTTGATCAGCTTATTGTAAAAAGTCTCTCAGCGTTCGGCTGTTTTACGAGGCTGAAGTCGCTTCTTATTCTCCAGCTTCTTGTTTGAATTTTCCCATTCCACCTTAAATTCTGACTGAGGCGCCGAATGCAAATGCGACACTATTTAAGGTGGACCGGGGAAATACTAAAGAGAAGCAACTTCAGCCTCGCAACTTTTTAGTGTTTGACAGTCTCTCGTTGCAGATTTAACGTACAAGGAAACCAACTGCACTGCATGTAAATGCGAATAACGCATCATTGCTATGTGACCTGCAGTCTGCCAGTTCTCAGTCGTTGCGAAACAGGGCTTTCGCGCTAAGTTGCACACGTCACGTCTCAAAGATATTTTATTGACACAGCGATCTCCACCCTCTACAGCGAGACCAAAACCGAAGTTATAAAATCACCGAAGAAAACGGGGAGGACGACTGTAACGTGCTGCGTGGACACCCATTACCACCGGATCTTATTTCACTGTAACCGCATTTTATCACGGCTCACCTCAGAACAGACCTACTTTGACCCAGAGGTCTGAAGACTTTCTTTTTCTTTTGACTAACAGTTTAAGGGCAACATAATGGAACGTCATGCCACCCCTTTATAAACATCCTGAAGAGACCTTTGGACATCACTGAAGTAAATTTTGGAATACTGATAAATTGTGACTTCTGAAAATTCCTTTCCCTCTCTCTCACACCCATACAGCTCACCTTCCCCCACAAAGAGAGACATCTTATCTAAAACAAAGGCCAAACATGGCCCACCAATCAACTCTGGGTGAGGGGACTGTTGAGACCTCACGGATCCCTGAGCAGACCCCTCGGTGTGGCCAGATACTCTTAAGTGCATTCCTTCAGTATCATAAATTTGGGGTCTGTGCAGAGGCTAGGCTCCTGAGAGCCCTGCTTTCTGGCAAATTATTCACAATGTGATCTTTAATCAAGTATCAATCAAATGCCTTTCCTTTATCAAACTGTGAAGAACACCTCTGTTACTGTTAACATGTTGCCTTGTCAGACGTGAATTGATTAATCCCTGCCAAAGGGAATTAATACCTAACTTTCTACACTATGTTCTTTTATATTCTAGTAGTTATTTTGATTCTTGGATTGTAATCCTTCCTCACTGATCTAGGTTATTGTATTGATCTTTGATCATTCACAACTATATTCATTTCACCCATTATATAATTTTTCTTTTTCTTTTGTTTGAGAAACAACCCATGTATTTCGTGATCACTGTTAATCTTATATATCTGCTTTTCTCGCAAGTCTTCTTGTAGTGTTATTAGAAGTAGGATTCTAAAGTGTATAGCTTGTGTGACTATGTACACTTTAATCATAGAGTTTCTCCCAACATATCTACAGAATTATTGATGATTACGTATTCACTTATTTTACTCTGAGTTATTATGTAACCGTTCATGTAAGCACTGTTTAGAAATAGTAATGTGACGTATAACCACGAAATTGTCTTAACATTTTAATTCTTTTGTCTAAGCAGTTCCTACTTCTTATATGACTAGAATGGTTAAGGATTCAACTTATTGTATGTAACCATATCATGGTTTACGTTAAGGGATAATGATCTGTAAGCTCCATAGTCATTTGCAATAGTCACTATGGAAACAATAATGTTTTATAGGTAAAATTGCATGCTTCTTTTACTTAAGTGTAACCACACCCAGAATCTCCAAAGGATTATGTGACACTTGAGCAGCATTCAAAGAAATTGCATATTCATTATAGGTAACCTAACAAACCAACCAAAACTTTTTCCCCGCCTTAGCTCTGCCTTGGCTCCGCCCCTCAAAGTTCTTTCTTTAAAGCAAGGAAGAGAAACAGTGGGGAGAACGAGAAGAAGAAACAGAAGGACAGGGAAAGTTGGCCCTGAAGGGAGCGAGACAGCCAACATGTAATCTTAATGAAACTCCAAGTAGAGAAGCCCGTTCTCCTCGTTTTGCACTTTAGCTAAGTTCTGCAGATCTTAAATGTTAGTTGTTTGTCTTGTGTCTTAATCCGTTTTGTTTCATTTACTCAGTAATCTTAAAGTGTTGTAACTGTAAGGTTAGACTATTGAAGAGCTGCATCTGGCTGCATTTGTTTTTCAAGTTTCGTCAATCTATTTTGAAAGTCTAACTGCCAACGACAGGCCGCTCAGAACCTAGTTTTAGAACAGAAACAGAGGCAAAACAGTGCTGACTGAAATCCACATCAAGAGCCTGCTCCGACCACCGCCTGCCTCCATCGCCAAGAAGAAGATCTGCGCTCCTCACCGGAGAGGCCGCCAAGCGTCGCCGGAAGCCTGCCTTGCCAGTGGGGTCCGGTCCAAAGCGTTGACCAAGGGCTTGCACCTCAAGCGGCCTTGCCTTTGACCTGCAGACCCTTCCTAGCCTGTGTGAGCAGTGGCTTCTCTTCCTCAACGTGGCACGCGCATCAACACGGCACTGAGGCATCCAGCAGCTTTGACCTTTGACCTGCGGACCCTGCTCCAGCCCATGCCAGCAGCGGCCTCTCTTCCCCTCAACGCGACATGCGCATCCCCGCAGCTCTGAGGCATCCAGGTCGTAGATTCACTCGCACTGCCCTTTGTGGTCTCAGTCTCACTGTGATTTTGCTTTTCTTTATTGATACTTAGGCCAGCTTCACACTAGTGTCAGGGTTGTTCTGCTTGCTGCTCAAAAGCCACATAATTTGGAAAATCAGCTAATCTTAGTACTTTTGTTCAGTATATTCAATATCTCTGTTTTTTCCATAACTAGTAGTCCAATATTTAGTACCTATATACCTTTGTAATCGATTGCTTTATGTTTATATACCTCTATCAATAAATAACCCTTTATTACAGTCATCTCTGTCATGGTGTGCATATGAAAAACTTCAATTTGGTTTGGTTCCCTGGACCATGGTCAAGCTCTCACTTGAATTGAATTAAAATACCCGTGTCTTACGGTAAGTGGGAAATTAGGTGCTTTTGAGGCCTTGTCCCGCTACAGTCTAATGCGCTCCAAACAAGACCACTGAACGAGAGCCTTCTTGTTCACTTGCCACATCACTTCCATTTGATTTTATTAATAAAAGATATTGGAAATAAATTCATTATGGATCATTACAAATACTTTGCTTTAAAACTACCAAGTCCTCAGACAGTAGGAAAAGAAAAATCCTGTATAGAAGATGCATCGATAATCGTTTTATAATCGCATCGCAGCCCTCTGAATCGTAATCGAATCGAATCGAATCGTGAGGTGCCTAGAGATTCCCACCCCTAATGTCCACCTATCCAAAGACTTTGTGGGCACCTTTGCCAAAAACCTAAAAGATGTGGCCCTTGGACGCAGCTCCGGCAGCCCCCTACGAAACAGCAGATCACCCAGCCTACATGCAGCCAGACAACTCCATCACCCAGAAAGATCAGCGCGCACCCTATCATTCATCACTACCACCCCCTGCCTCCGCACAGCCTTTCCACCCCCAGAGCAACCCCAGCTCGCCGGACCACCAACCTGCACAGACACACCACACCTAGCCCAGCAACCCGCCCACCACCGACCAGCAAAATGCACCCACTACCAGTCCCCAGCCCCAGCAGGCAGCCGCTGAAGCAGAGCTATGCCAATGTAGTGAAGAATCCGGCCTCCACAAGCACTACAGACCTGGGCGAGATCAAACAGCTGCTCAATCTCATATGCACCAAACTGCTGAGCTAAGTTCTGAGTTCACTGCTCACACTATGAGACTGTAATTACATAGTTTATTAATGACTGTCTATATGTTACACACACCAATAGTCCCCCTCACTTACACAGGTTTATCTCCTTTTAAAATCTATTTTATTTGTACTTGCATTCATGTTAAAAATGAAACCCTTATCTACTTCTATGTGGAACAGTCAGGGCATAAAATCATCTCTGTTTGGATACAAAAGTAAAAACCATGAACTTACAAAAACCACAAAAAACACTGACATTATCATCCTACAGGAAACCTGGTGTAAATCAGACAGCATCACTCACTGTCCCACAAACTACAAAGAAATCATCATTCCCTCTGTTTAACACCCTCATATCAAGGTAGAGATTCAGGTGGAATTATTATCTGGTACAAATCAGAGCTATCCAAATTCATAGTCCCGCTGAAACTTGAAAAATCACACATATGGCTTAAAATTAAAAAGGAAATCACCGACACTCCAAAAGACCTTTTCTTATGCACAGTCTACATCCCTCCCAGTGAATCCCCTTATTATAATGAAGACATTCTCCCCAGTCTGCACCATCAGATTAGCAGCTTCCAGGCCCAGGGAAGTGTGCTGATCTGTGGGGACCTGAATGCTCACACTGGATCTCTACCTGACTTCAACACAGAGCAAGGTAACAATTATATATTCAGACACCAACACCCAGGAAATATCACCAACCTCCCCGATACAATTCGGATTCACAGGTGAACAAAACGGAAAGGACCTCCTGCAGCTCTGTCAGAGTCTGGGTCTGTACATTGTCAGCGGTAGGTTACGAGGGGACTCTTTAGGGAGATTTACCTTCTGCTCACCTCTTGGAAACAGTACAGTAGATTATATGATAACAGACAATGAACAGTGAACACAGCCTGGCCGTACTGAATGGCCACCATAAGAACACAGTACAGACTCAGTGAACAGTGGAGCCTGGCCATACAGAATGACCACCATAAGAACACAGTACAGACTCAGTGAACAGTGGAGCCTGGCCATACAGAATGACCACCATAAGAACACAGTACAGACTCAGTGAACAGTGGAGCCTGGCCATACAGAATGACCACCATAAGAACACAGTACAGACTCAGTGAACACAGCCTGGCCATACAGACCGACCACTATAAGAACACAGTACAGACTCAGTGAACACAGCCTGGCCATACAGAATGACCACCATAAGAACACTGTACAGACTCAGTGAACACAGCCTGGCCATACAGAATGACCACCATAAGAACACTGTACAGACTCAGTGAACACAGCCTGGCCATACAGACCGGCTGCTATAAGAACACAGTACAGACTCAGTGAACGCAGCCTGGCCGTACAGAATGACCACCATAAGAACACAGTACAGACTCAGTGCACACAGCCTGGCCGTACAGACCGGCCACTAGAAGACAGTACAGACTCAGTGCACACAGCCTGGCCGTGCAGATTGGCCACTATAAGAACACTGTACAGACTCAGTGAACACAGCCTGGCCGTGCAGATTGGCCGCTATAAGAACACAGTACAGACTCAGTGCACACAGCCTGGCCGTACAGACCGGCCACTAGAAGACAGTACAGACTCAGTGAACATAGCCTGGCCGTGCAGATTGGCCGCTATAAGAACACAGTACAGACTCAGTGAACACAGCCTGGCCGTACAGACCGACCTCCATAAGAACACAATACAGTCTCAGTGAACACAGCCTGGCCGTGAAGACTGGCCACTATAAGAACACAGCACAGATCTCTGTGCTTTACCAGCGTATCTTCAAGAGGAACATTCTAGCTTTAAGGTCAGATCTCTATAGTTGACCAGTGTATCTACACCATTCAGCTTAACTGTGAGCTCCAGCTTTAACTGTGAGCTTTAAACTCCACTAACTGTGTGTGTGTTTGTGTCCACAAATTAATCAGTCACAGACACTCACAGCCGACAGACAGCCAGTCACAGACACTCACAGCGGACAGACAGTCAGTCACCGACACTCACAGCCGACAGACAGCCAGTCACAGACACTCAAAGCCGACAGACAGCCAGTCACAGACACTCACAGCCGAAAGACAGTCAGTCACCGACACTCACAGCCGACAGACAGTCAGTCACCGACACTCACAGCCGACAGACAGCCAGTCACCGACACTCATAGCCGACAGGCAGCCAGTCACCGACACTCACAGCCGACAGACAGTCACCGACACTCAAAGCCGACAGACAGCCAGTCACAGACACTCACAGCCGACAGACAGCCAGTCACAGACACTCACAGCCGAAAGACAGTCAGTCACAGACACTCACAGCTGAGACACGGTCAGTCACAGACACTCACAGCCGACAGACAGTCAGTCACAGACACTCAGAGCCGACAGACAGCCAGTCATAGACACTCACAGCCGACAGACAGCCAGTCACCGACACTCACAGCCGAAAGACAGTCAGTCACAGACACTCACAGCTGAGACACGGTCAGTCACCGACACTCACAGCCGACAGACAGTCAGTCACAGACACTCACAGCCGACAGACAGTCAGTCACAGACACTCACAGCCGACAGACAGTCAGTCACCGACACTCACAGCCAACAGACGGTCAGTCACCGACACTAACAGCCAACAGACAGCCAGTCACCGACACTCACAGCCGACAGACAGTCAGTCACCGACACTCACAGCCGACAGACAGTCAGTCACCGACACTCACAGCCGACAGTCACCGACACTCATAGCCGACAGACAGCCAGTCACCGACACTCACAGCCGACAGACAGTCAGTCACCGACACTCACAGCCGACAGACGGTCAGTCACCGACACTCACAGCCGACAGACGGTCAGTCACCAACACTCACAGCCGACAGACGGTCATTCACAAACACAGCTGACAGACGGTCAGTCGCCGACACAGCCGAAAGACGGTCAGTCGCCAATATTCACAGCCAACAGATGGTCAGTCGCTGACATTCATATAGTTTTCAAACACACTGTGAGAACAACTCACATACTCAAACACACTTACACACACATTAACACACACTCACCACCATGTCCTCTTCCCAGTTGTCCGAAGGTTTGATTGTCCACTCAATCCACAGCGGTCCAGAGTCCTCTGCAGCCAGAGTGAAGTGACAGTCCAGCTTCACACTTTCACCATTGGCCTTCTCTATGAAGGTTGGTCCAGTGGAGTTGATCTCCAATCCACATACTGAACCTACACACACACACACACACACACACACACACACACACACGAAGTTACAGCTGTCAGAGAGAGTTTCTGAACACACACTACACACTACAAAACACACACAGACATCAATACAGTGTTACAGTAATACATAGCATCAGCGCAGCACTACAGTAATAAATAAAAACACTACCGTATTATCACATCAGCACAGCACTACAGTAATAAATAAAAACACTAGCGTATTATCACATCAGCACAGCACTACAGTAATAAATAAAAACACTACCGTATTATCACATCAGCACTACAGTAATAAATAAAAACACTACCGTATTATCACATCAGCACAGCACTACAGTAATAAATAAAAACACTAGCGTATTATCACATCAGCACAGCACTACAGTAATAAATAAAAACACTACCGTATTATCACATCAGCACAGCATTACAGTAATAAATAAAAACACTACCGTATTATCACATCAGCACAGCACTACAGTAATAAATAAAAACACTAGCGTATTATCACATCAGCACAGCACTACAGTAATAAATAAAAACACTACCGTATTATCACATCAGCTCTACAGTAATAAATAAAAACACTACCGTATTATCACATCGGCGCAGCACTACAGTAGTAAATAAAAACACTACCGTATTATCACATCAGCTCTACAGTAATAAATAAAAACACTACCGTATTATCACATCAGCGCAGCACTACAGTAGTAAATAAAAACACTAGCGTATTATCACATCAGCACAGCACTACAGTTTACGAGAAGCGCGTGCACGCGAGGGGGAGTCGGATTCTGCCGGGGAGTCGGAATTCGGCACAACACCGGTCAGTAAACAAATCAAGTTTAATCCGGTTCGACTCACCTGCAGTCCAAACCGCCAGCAGGCAGAGCAGCGCGGAGGTGGTCAGCTTCATCAGCGCGAGTTTGTCCTGAAAGTGAGAGAAATTCGGACTTTAAACTCATAAATTACTGAGTTTTTCTCTCCCTCGCCCTCGTTTCTTCTCCCGGAGCATCATCAGACACACCCAGGTGGATTCTGGCTGGAATCGGATCACGTGGCATGACAAAATGGACCAATCAGAGTGCTGCCCTTTCTCTCCACCTGTTTTACGACAGGCGCCGCCCCTCTGCACTGTGATTGGCTCATGCCCCAGAGAGGGTCGCGTCAAGGGAAGTTCAAACCCAGCTACCAAAACCAGGTCCCGAGCGGCTCCGGCCTTTGGTTTTGGAGATTTCCTCCTTAAAACTATTAAAGCTCCATATAACGTCTGTTCCCCTCAGTGAGGTTAGCAGCTGGTACGACTGCTCGGTTTGGAGTAGAGCGTGGAATATACAGCAAGGTTATGAAACCTTAAATAATACATTCACAGTTAACTGGCTTATTAGGCTCACTCAAGAAAAAAATAATATATGGAACACATTTCCAAAGTACTGGTTTAATGTGATGGGTGGTGTAGAATTCTTGCTGAGATGTGACTATAAGATTGAAAAATGACCTGTTAAACTGTCCACATTTCATAATCAGGCTCTACTAGCTTGGACACTGGCTTATAAGCATAAGTTTCCCCTCACAGAGGTATTATTTGGAATAACAGGAATGTCCATTTTAAGAATAAATCTTTTTTTAAAAAATGGTTTGATAATAATATCAGTGAAACAACTTTTGAACGCTGATGGCTTTTTGTTGACGTATAGTGAATTTGGAGCGCCGGTCACACCTAAAGAATATGCTGTAGTTTTTGACACTAAACCACAACAAATCTCACAGCTTCTCAAGGGTTCAGCAAATAATGACATGGATGTTTTAGGGATGGGCTTTTTATTGGGGTCACTGATATCCCTAAATATAAAAGTACAAACAGGTTTATTAGGAATGTAATATCTAATGAAAGAATTTATAAACAACCATGTTGGTCTTTTGAATTTGGGAACATAAATTGGAATAAAACATGGACAATTTGTGATAAATATTGTATGAATAATAAAATAAAGTGACATTTAAAATTTGACACATCTACCCTGTTAAAGGTGTTTTGGAGAGATTTAGAGTTAGTAATGAATGTCCTGCACCTTTTGTGGTTTGGAAAAGGAATCAATTATCCATCTGTTTTTCCAGTGCACTCATACTGAAGTGTTCTGGATTGATGTGGAAAACTTTGTGAGAAGAAAGCCTGGACACTGTGCTACACTGGATGTTTCAGATGTTATTATTTCTTTTTCTATGGACAGATTAGATGTTAAAGTATTTCTTTTTGTACAATACTTAATTATTAAGAAGAGATGGTCTGATTATAAGCCAACCTTTACACATTTCCTCTGTGAGCTTAAGGAATATGGCACCTCTTTAAAAAATATAAAAAAGAAGAAAGCAGAAAGGACTTCAGAATTATATGTTGATTATGATTTATTTAACGTGTAAGCACCACCCTGGCAGCTGGTTGTTGTAGGTTATGTTATTGTGTGAATCCTTTAATAAAAAAATAAAAAAATAATAGGTCCCGAGAACGTCCCCGCACCAACACTGCGAACGTCCTCTGGAGGTTTTTTTTGTAGGGTCGCCAAAATGGTAGAGGGGACGTTCTTATAGGACATTTGCAGGACCACCGGGAAACATCCAGAGGACTACGAGGGGATGTTTATGGAACATCCTTTAATCGTTTCTTGTGTTTTGAATTGTTTATAGATCTACTCTTCTATGTTACTGCTAAAGCTATGTAAATGTTATTAAGTTAGTAAGTTGTGGCATAAAATGAGGCATAAAATGAACACATATGAAGGGATTGGGGCCATTCCAAAGATTTGTGAGGTGTGCAAGACAGTTTTAGGCTTAAATGCTTAAACGCCTCATAATTAAAGACTATTTTTGTACATAAAGCAGTTTAATTCAGAATTTAGGTTTTAACTCAAAAATGCAAATCAGGTTTCCAAAACACACACAAAAACGAAAAAGGAACGCGGTTTGAGTTTTTCCCCTCATAAATCTTTAGTCCAAAATACTCACACGTGTGATTATATACTCATTAACACTTATTTTCAATGGAAGCGGTGATAACCAGGAAAACGTGAAGTTGCATTCCACACTACAGATTTCTATAAGAGAGCCCTATATACTGATCAAGAGATAAAATAATAATGATAATAATAATAGTAATAATAATCATCACCACCATCATCATCATCACAATTTATTATATTTAATTTAGGTTTTTTCCGATATTTTGTCTGATAAAACTGGGCAATATCTTAATAAATTCTTACCAACATTATCTTAATAGGAACAATAATATTATAATGGAACTTAATTTAACCTGTAATTCTTCTGAGGGATCAAACTTCCGTATGATAACATCATTGATGGGGAGTCACTCAAAAGATCATTGTCCTTTTCTTCCTTTCAAACTGTATTCAGACCACAGGGAGTTGCATCCTCCATACAGCATCTCCCAAGCTGCCGCCCCCCCCGGAGACAAACAATTATATTAATGTATAGAGGAAAAAACAATAAAGTACAGTATTGCGACATTTTGGATTTAAATAGTTTTGATATATGTAGGCCCAAGTATCCATATTTTATTATGTAATTATTACAATTTTAAATTTTAATCTGTGTTTTGCTCGTTATAAGACTAATTCACAAGACGGCGCTGTTTCTTTCTAGTGAGACCATCAGTTAACTCAATATTGATTAGGGTTAGACAGGAAAGTATGCTCACCCAGTGCCGCCAAGAACGGGTTCCATCCTCTGGGCAAAATGCCTAAACATTATCTCCTACTACTGCAAATTATTCAGGACAAGCTGAACCATAAAATAACAGTGAAAACAATACAAAAACAACATATCAAATATCGAAACTGAGAAATTTTATTGTTTTTTGCAAAATATATACCCTTTTTGAATTTGATGCCAACAACACATTCCAAAAAAGTTGGGACGGGGGCCTGTTTACCACTGTGTTTCATCACCTCTTCTTCTGTAAGCGTTTGGGAACTGAGGAGACGCTGCTGTAGTTCTGAAAGGGAAATGTTTTCCTGTTCTTATTTGATACAGGATTTCAGCTGCTCATCAGTTCAGGGTCTCCTTTATCATATTTTTGTTTCATTACGCAAATGTTGCCAATCAACCACCAGGTGTTTTTTTTAGCATTACATAACTTTACCAGCCTTCTGTTGCCCCCGTCCCAACTTTTTTGGAACATGTTGTTGGCATTACATTCAAAACGGGCATAGATTTTTCATAAAACAATACGATTTCTCACTTTCAACATTGTTGTCTCGGTACTATTTTGAGATAAACATAGATTTTAAATGATTTGCAAATCATTGCATTCTGTTTTTATTTACATTTTGCACAGCGTCCCAACATTTTCGGAAATGGGGTTGTAGAACAGTAAAACATGTAGAACAGTCCTTTGATATTGCAGCATCAGCATATCATGGCTCAAGTATCACGAATGGTGGGCTCTGTTTCGCATCTCTTGTAGGTTTTAAACAGAAAGTTATTGTTGTATGTAATAAAATCTCGGTACGCACCATCTTTTTACGGTATGCAGGATCTTGCAGTCTACTGCACAGGCCTTCCAAGTCCTCTGTTGATTTACATGGCTCATTTAAGATCTCTGATGTGTCACTGGAGGTACTTGGCTGACCTGTGCTCTTCTCCAGTAATCTCTCGATGGCGTCCCTAAATTCCTCTTACATTTGTGTTATTTTTCAGCAGGACTCTTCTTTCAAAGGTCTCAAATAACCTCAGAATTTCTGCAAAGCAACCAATAAATAAATTAAACCAATTATATAAAGCTTAATGAGTGCACCAGTAACAACATTAAAAAGGAGCGACTGATGTACAAGTTATTATAAATAATTAGGACTAATAATAATGATGAAGAGTGTTTGCATTGTTTGAGTGATTCTAGTGGCTCCCCCATACTTCACAATAGGAATAAAAACACAAAGACAAGTAATAGTCTCAGAAACCACCTTGCTGGTCACTGGAAGTTGGAGCATCTGCTGTGAAATAAACAAAAAGTGTATTAAAATTTGAGGCTGTGCTTATATTTTCAACTGCATTTGTCCACAATGAATATCGGCACCCAGTCCAGTGTAGATCCAGCGTAAAACTAAACTGATTGACTAGCCTACATTTGGCGGAAAACTACTATGGAAATTAGATTTTATTATCTGTCACGGTTCCCCTTTGTTCCTGTGTCTGTTTCTTGCTCTGTTTTGTAGCCATGTGCTTGTGTTTTTGTTTTGGTTCTTGTGCTCCGCCCTTTCCCCACCTTTGCTATTAGGATCCTCACCTGTCTGTAGTCTGTCTCCTCCCTCTATCAGGTGTTCCCCATTCGTTCTAGCCTTTATGAAGCTTTTCGTTTCAGTCAGTGTTTGTCTGATCTACTCGTCACTTTGTTAGGTGTAGCTGTTGTGTGACGACCTCGTGTTTGGTTTGCTCAAAGTGTTTGTTAAGCTTAGTAGTTCGTTATTTTGTGTTTAATGTTTCTAATGGTCTGTTTTGTTCTTTAAAGTGTGCTTGCAAGTACATTCAGCCTCCTTGCTCACTGCACACATGACAGCATTCCTTTAACTTCTGCATGCATTGTTTGTACCTTGTAACTGCTGGACTGTGGAAGTGGATGGAGCATCTGCCAGCAAATAAACCAAATAAAACTTAACATTAAAAACAACGGAGAATTAACAGAGAACTCTAACCAACGTTCCTCTCTTTTTATGCAAATTAAACTGTTCCATTTGCAGGGCCAATGGTGGTGGCACATGTGTGTGTGAGGACATAAAGTACATGATCAAGTACATGAAAAATGTGTTCCTTAGTTAATTAATTGTATTTGGTTGTATGAGGGAAAGCACAAAAATCTGCATAGCATGTCTCCAAAACAGATATTGGGAACCTACACATGAACATTTTTTGCAAACAAAACAGCAACTTTTTACAAACGGGAAAAATGTGCTCGCACTCAATCAAATTAACAGTAAGCAGTTCTGCTCATAAGTTTGCATACCCTGGCAGAATTTGTGAAATATTAGCGATTTCTTGAAAAATGTGATTGATCATGCAGAAAAGGTTTCTATTATTTAGGAATAGTGGTCAGATGAAGCCGTTTATGATCACATATTTGTGTCTGCCCTTTTTAAATCATAATGATAACTGAAATCATGCAAATGGCACCAATTAAAAGTTTACAGAACCTTGTGTGTTTGGCCTTACAGACCAGTTGAAACACTCAAGTTTAAATGGCTCTTAAGGGTAAGTTTCCACACCCATGACTTGATTGATTCTAATTAGTGTCTGTGTGTAAATAGTCGATGAGTTTCATAGTTCGTAAGAGACGCCTGTACATTTCATCCAGGGTTGCACTGATTTTGCTGGATACTCTGTCATGGGTCAAGCAAAAGAACTGTCAAAGGACCTGTGAGAAAAGGTAGTGGAGCTTAATAAATTAGGAAAAAGATATAAAAAGATATTCAAAGATTTAAAAGTAGCAGTAAAGCCAGTACTGCTCTAACTCAAAACAAAGATTTCAGTCACAACTGCCATGAAAATTGGTCAGGATGCAAAGAACAACCCAGAAAACACTTCAGCTGAAATACAGGCTTCTCTGCAAAAAAGTGGTGAGGCTGTTTCAGCATGCACAATATGTACCTGAAGAAAAATGGGCTGCAGATTTGAGTTGCCAGAAACAAAACATTAATGTGCGAATGCCACAAAACAGCCAGCTTACAATATGCCAAGCAGACAAGGTTCAAAACTTGTTGTTTGGAGTGATGAGGCCAAAACTGAACTTTATGGTCACAACCATAAACTCTGTGTTTGGAGAGGAGTCAACAAGGCCTATGACAAACATACACCACCCCTACTGTGAAGCACGGAGGTGGATCTCTGATGTTTTGGGGGTGTGTGAGCTGCAGCGGTACAGGGAATTTAGTCAAAACTGATGGCAGGATGAATAAAGGACCCGTTTCTACACAATTTTTCTTGTTTGTATTTTCCATGATATAGGAAATTTAATTTTAGAACAGGAAGTCATTCAGCTTATGGCTGAATATAGAGGGTTTTATATTAGACATAGAATACACTATTGTGGTGTAGAAGCCGTTATTTAATGGCCTACATAGTGCACAGAAGGAGCATGGAGCCATTTGAGATTCTGTCTAGATATTTTCTGGTATCATGAACTGGAATAACTGGAACAACTATCTTACTGACTCCTCACTGTTGAAGACAACTGGACTCACCGTTCTGGGGAACATTCTGCCAGATTTAAAGGGCTAAAGAAAAAAGATCAACAAGAATGTTAATAACTGTATTTTGCAATTTAAATACAGGACAACCCAAAAGTATAAGAGAGCTTCATTTTTTTAAGCACCTTACAACTTTAGATTGATTTTTCAGTTTTACAGTGAATGTAAATGGATTTTAACATTCACACAACACACTATATATTTAAAGAGGATTTTATTTTTCATACACAGCCATGTGTATGTAATACAGTGACATATTGTGGAGTAGAATTATCAAACATGTTTTATACTGAATGCTTGAAATTTCAGAGATATTTAAGTTGATTCAGTCTTTTGTCTTTAAAATTCTGATAGATTGTTGGCTCTCGTTCCACAAAATCACCATATTCAAAGCACATTTTGCGCAGCTTCGTACGGACATTGTCCAAAGTGAGAGCATGGTGTCTGCATATTTCCAGCAGTTCCCGGTTTCTGTTCAGTTCTTCAGTGATCTGGAACGTTAACATCAAAGATGAATACAATAAAAAATAATGTGCTACACCCAACAGTCCTATGAAATATTATATAATCTGAAATTACAGCAAGATTCAATAACAGAAACTTTACTGATTTTAAGTGACATTAGACACTAACCCGTTGCTTAGTTATAAACTTTGCCTTGAGGTCTTTTTCAAAACTGACCCGAAGAAGACCGATCAGCTGGTCACTGTATTCAATTTTTCTCCTTTTACCCTAAAGGAGAGAAAATGACTGTTATATTTCAGTTTCCTATATAGAATTAGCCCTGGTCCATTTCTTTATTTTTAATTGACTCACAGGAGCAGGGGCCAACATGGGAAGTGGCTCCTCATCATAATCTTCATCCACAGTGCTCACCGGGAGTTCTTCCTCCTCTTCTCTTACAGTCTCTGTTTTTGTCCACAAAAGGAACAAATTTCACAAACGTTCTAATTTTTGTGCCATGAATAAATGCTCAAATATTCAGATTCAGTGTATATTTGTACCTGTACTTGCATCTAGTGTTCCTAAGGTGGTTGAATCAGCTTCTGTCATCCTGAGCACAAATACTTCTCTAATATGAAAGCATCTGTATACTTTAACTTTCCAAATATTGATATAATATTCTAACTGTGGAATCACATGCTGTGCAGGTTACAGACAGGACACGTTAACTTGCCTTTTACAGCAAGGCTGCACTCAAACACTGTAGAAACCACCACCAACAACATGTTCATTATACCAACCATCAGTTTATGACTTCAAGCTAATCAAATAAAGACTTTATAAAGAAAGATTCCCTCATAAACATACGCTATTTTAATTCTGGAATCACACGGTCAGCAGAACCAGTACATTCCAGAAAGCAGCAGTGTATCACAATAAATCAGTCTAAACTACACCATGTACAGTGTATCACAGTGTAAACTACACCATGTACAGTGTATCACAGTGTAAACTTCATCATGTACAGTGTATCACAGTGTAAACAACATCATGTACAGCGTATCACAGTGTAAACTTCATCATGTACAGTGTATCACAGTGTAAACTACACCATGTACAGTGTATCACAGTGTAAACTTCATCATGTACAGTGTATCACAGTGTAAACTACACCATGTACAGTGTATCACAGTGTAAACTTCATCATGTACAGTGTATCACAGTGTAAACAACATCATGTACAGCGTATCAGTCTAAACTACACCATGTACAGTTTATCACAGTCTAAACTATAATATAATTCTGTACCTGTAAAATCCTGCTACTCTTTAAAGTGAATCGCTGTATAAACACAGCCCTGGATGCTCTCCTGGACTCTACTGCATGTAATTGGATAAGGTGGGCAGGGTTAGAGGTCGGGGGTGGAGCTAAGCTCTGCCTTGTTAAAAGATCAGGCCGTCCATAATTTAGATAATGTATCAAAATTAGGGAACTTGTTTTATAAATCCTTTTATTATAACAAACATCAAGTAATGCTTACAGCATAGAAACAAACTTTTTAACCATTTTTTAAAAACATTTTTAACATTTCTATTTTAATCAAACTGTTTTACACAAATATCCATTTTCAGGCTAAATCTGGTAAATGGATGTATATAATTTTATTTTTTTTATTTTTATTGTAACATTTATATTAAACACATTAATTTATGGTTATTGTGGCAGATTCATCCAGACATCAGCAAATATTACAGATGTTCTGAAGCCTTTTTAACTCTGTTTTAAATGTAATCGGACTGAACCTGCCGGAAGGGCCAGCTTTCCATTTCACTGCATAAACAAATTTAGAACTCTAGAACTAAATGCAGCACAAAAGAACACAGACATTCTCTTTATTTTCATCTTTATCTCAAATCCGTTTTAATGTAAACATCTTTTCTACAGTCAGCAGCAAACTTTACCTTTCCTTTTTTTGACCGATGAACTGTTCCACATGGCTGTGTTTTTCCTTTTCTCAGTATACTGGAACTGTGTACTTGTATTGTTTTATCTTCTCCACTGCAGGTTCTGGGCTGAATTCTGTAGACCAGCAGCGCCGAAAGCGCAGAATGGAAAATCTGCGGCAGCACCACCAAGCCTGTGAGAAACGCTTCAAAACTGCAGAAGAAGAAAAACACACTGTCAGTATCTCTCTATCTTGCTCTCTCTCTCTCTCTCTCTCTCTCTCTCTCTCTCACACACACACACACACAGATTTACAATAACATTATAACAGCAGTGTCTCTTTTTCAGGTTTAAGTTCAACAAGAAAAAAAAGAATGAACAGAAAACGTTCTTTTCTGTTAGAACCTAAAGAAAGACTTACGGAAGACTCCCACTGAAGATTCACAGAAGACACACTAAAGACTCACAGAAGACTCACACTAAAGACTCACAGAAGACTCACACTAAAGACTCACAATAATCACAAAAGACTCACACTAAAGACTCAATAATCACAAAAGACTCACACTAAAGACTCACAGAAGAAACACTAAAGACTCACAGAAGACACAATAAAGACTCATACTAAAGACTCACAAAAGACAATAAAGAATCACAAAAGACTCACACTAAAGACTCACACTAAAGACTCACAATAATCACAAAAGACTCACACTAAAGACTCACAATAATCACAAAAGACTCACACTAAAGACTCACAGAAGAAACACTAAAGACTCACAGAAGACACAGTAAAGACTCACACTAAAGTCTTACAAAAGACAATAAAGAATCACAAAAGACTCACACTAAAGACTCACAGAAGACACACTAAAGACTCACAGAAGACACACTAAAGACTCACAGAAGACACAATAAAGACTCATACTAAAGACTCACAAAAGACAATAAAGAATCACAAAAGACTCACAGAAGACACACTAAAGATTCACAGAAGACACACTAAAGACTCACAGAAGACTCACAGAAGACACACTAAAGACTCACAGAAGACACACTAAAGATTCACAGAAGACACAATAAAGACTCACAGAAGACACAATAAAGACTCACACTAAAGACTCACAAAAGACAATAAAGAATCACAAAAGACTCACAGAAGACACACTAAAGATTCACAGAAGACACAATAAAGACTCACAGAAGACACAATAAAGACTCATACTAAACACTGACTGGAGACTCGCACTAAACAATCACAGAAGACTAAGACTAAATGTTCTTTGTTATCTTTATTCAATTGTAATAAAGTTATAGCAGCGTTGTTTCTATCTCCTGCTCTTTTTCTTTCACACACATTTCCAGCAGTGTAAGGGCACTTCAGTACCTGGTGTCAAAGGCAGGGCTGATATTTGACTTTCTGCATTAATGAGATGTAATATTGAATATTTATTTCTCCCTTAGGCTATACACTCACTCTGCTTTCTGGCAGGAGTGTGTTTGGAGACAATTTTGAAACAGCCACTTGGGAACCCATTACATCATGTTCAAACCTATTACATCATGTTTAAACCCATTACATCATGTTCGAATCCATTACATCAAGTTTGGTGATTCTAACCTCAAAGGTCATAGTGCTACGGCCTTGTCCATACAGCAAACGTGAATTTGCCCTTAGGCCTATACTGGTCAGAACGTATTGTTCGAGGGATAGCAAGAGCAGGGAAGGTCACAAAGCTACCAAACTTTGAGCACCTTGCCAAGGCATGATTCTGATAAACAGATCAAAGTTTGGTGATTCTAAGGTCAAAGGTCATGAAGCTACGGCCTTATCCATACAGCTATCGTAAATTTGGCCTTAGGACTATACTGGCAAGAATGTATAGTTCGCGGCCTTGCAAGGGGGCAGTGAAGGTCACAGCGCTACCAAACTTGCCACACATTGTCATCACACTGTGCCGATGAAGCCATCAAGGTTTGGTGATTCTAACCTCAAAGGTCATAGTGCTACGGCCTTGTCCATACAGCAAATGTGAATTTGACCTAAGGCCTATACTGGCTAGAACATATGGTTCGAGGCCTAGCAAGGGCAGGGAAGGTCACAACGCTACCAAACTTTGAGCACCTTGCCAAGGCATGATTCTGATAAACAGATCAAAGTTTGGTGATTCTAAAATCAAAGGTCATAGTGCTACGGCCTTGTCCATACAGCAAACGTGAATTTGCCCTTAGGCCTATACTGGCCAGAACGTATGCTTCGAGGGATAGCAAGAGCAGGGAAGGTCACAAAGCTACCAAACTTGCCACACATTATCATCACACCATGCTGATGAAGCTTTCGAAGTTTGGTGATTCTAACGCCAAAGGTCATAGTGCTACGGCCTTGTCCATACAGCAAACGTGAATTTGTCCTTAGGCCTATACTGGTCAGAACGTATTGTTCGAGGGATAGCAAGAGCAGGGAAGGTCACAAAGCTACCAAACTTTGAGCACCTTGCCAAGGCATGATTCTGATAAACAGATCAAAGTTTGGTGATTCTAAGGTCGATGGTCATGAAGCTACGGCCTTATCCATGCAACAAATGTGAATTTGCTCTTTAGGTCTATACTGGCCAGAACGTATCGTTCGATGCCTAGCAAGGGCAAAGAAGGTCACAGCACTACCCAACTTGCCGCACATTGTCATCCCACCCTGCTGATGAAGCTATCAAGGTTTGCCGATTCCAAGGTCAAAGGTCATGAAGCTACGGCATTATCCATGCATTTCAGAAAGTAGTGCACACATTGTCAAAATTAAACTGTAGAGTAAGGTTGACACTCAAAACAGAATCACAGTTAAGGAATAAAGGTGTGCAGTGACGGTAAAGGGATGTGTCAGCAGTCTATGGTGGCTGTAGGAAGGGGACTAGATTGGTCCAGGTGTATGTTGGGAGGCATCAGGTGTGTTCAATAACCTGACCACATTAGGAAAGAAGCTATTGCAGAGTCTGTTGGTGGTGGTGGTGGTGAAGAGTCCCTGAAGGTGGTGGGAGGGGTCGGCCAAGGTGCTGGCAACCTTCAGAGAGTACTACTCCTCCTGGTTTTTGACCCCCAAGCCCAACGGTTGCCACACACTCTCTCTCTAGGTTACTGCAGATGTCCCCTTTGCCTCTGCATTGCAAATTTATGATAAAAAAGTCCTAAACCCTGCAATAAGAAATTATCCACATGTCTGTTCTTGTCAATACTATCCTAAGTATTACCAAGACAATGGTTTAAACCCCTAGCAAATTCCTTGTTCATGACCAATCATTTTTATCATTTTTCTGGAAGCACATGGGCCAAAAAAATGATAGCAAATTCAAGAAAGACCCCCTTTCCGCATCACTGTGCCAAATTAAGCTTTCATTTGCAGTCACTTCTTACGAATTACACTCCCAACTTGGTAATGGAGGCCTCCATATTCTCTTTGTGTTGCCTAAATTAAATCTTTAAAATATTAACATAAATTAAACGGTGACTCGTGCAAGCACAAACTTGGGCAACATCAGTCGACACAGAGTGTACCTAGAGTACACCTGGTTTCGGAGGCCTGCATCCTATGGATAAGCCACAGACCAGACAGTTACTGCAGGCCTCCTTATTCACTTTGTATTGCCTAAATCAAAAAATTAAAATATTCATATAAATTCAACGGTGAGTCACTCAAGCACATACTTCGGCACCATCGGTCAGACCAGTGGGTACTTTCAGTACTCCTGGTTTCAGACCTCGACGCCCAGTGGTTGCCCTATACACTCCCTCAACGTTACTTCAGGCCTCCCCATTCACTTTGTATTGCCTAAATTAAAAAATTAAAATATTCATATAAATTCAATTTCAATAATATTTCAGCTGCATTATTTACAACATTAAAAACAGTTGAGTACAGTGCAGTGAGGTGTCAGCAATGATGCACAGCCTTTGGATTTTTGATATATTACTGTAATTATATTTTTATATTTTTTATTTGTTTTGAATTTCAATAATATTTCAGCTAAACTATATACAACATTAAAAACAGCTGTGTATGGTGCAGTGAGGTGTCAGCAACAATGCACAGCCTTTAAAGTTTGGATATATTGCTTTAACTTTTATCAATTTTGAATTTCAGCTGTATTACATCCAACACTACAAACAATTCTATATGGTGCAGGTAAGTTTCAGCAATCATACACAACTGTTGAGTTTTGAATGTACTGCAATAATTACTTTATATTAATATTTGTATTTTAACCTTCAAAAGCATTTCAGCTGCATTAATTGCAGTGAATGCTGCATTTTGAATCTAAGCAGTATTTTAGCTATGTCACTTGATGACATTCAAAGTTTGTGTGTCATCACTGAAACTTATCTGCACCAAACACTGCTGACTTAAATTTTCAATGTCTAAAATGTTATCGAAACTCAAAATGAAAAAAACGTACAAGATTTAAAACTTACATCTGACTCACTTAGTGTTTGATGGATTTAAACTTTTGATTTGCAATTTAATCCACTTAAATAAGACGTTTTCTTTTCTACACTCATTTTTTAAACTAATATTTTAGATGGTTAGGGATCTATTAAACCTTCAAGACTGCTAATGTCTGTCGATTACTGAACCTCCGTCATCAAGCTAACTAGCTATATCAGTATACAGGTAATATTAGCACGAACAATTAAAATATGTATTTAAATACACTGAAACGCTTTGGAGGAAAACAGAGGCGTGTGCATGGATGTAGGCGTGGTCTAGAAGTGCATGATTTTTCTTCCGGCCGAAAAACTTGTCTCGCTTCTATGGTATTAACACAAAATAGCGGTACGTTAAATGTCACCCAAACTGTAAAAGAACAGGTGTGCATCACTCTCTGTGGTCGGACTGTCATGAATATGTAAGTCTTTACTGACCACCGTAGTCCGATCAAATGTTATTAGCGCCGAAAAGACGAATATCGAAAACAAAACTAACTTTACTGTGGTGAGAATGGTCTATGTAACTATCCAGACGTGGGGACAGTTTTAGGGGAAGCACTTTAACCCAGCAGAAACACCCAGATCTGTTCCTCCTGCCACATACATAATGGACAGTATACATGAGGATGAAATACATAGTCATATTAATTTGTGATACACCAGCATTCATTACTTCAGAGCTAATCAGTTCAGTTATGGGCGACATTCACAGACAGTACAAAGCCCTGTCCAAGTCCCTTCCTCCTCCCAAATACAGTAAAGATAAGCTCCATTGGACCATAATGTGTGGATGAAATATCTAGTTCTAATATTCAATGATGCATTACAGTACATTATTCATTACTGAGCTTCTCTCAGAATGTGTTTCACAGGACCAACAGATCTGCACAGGACGATTCATCTGAGGAAAAATATTTACAGCAAAAACTGTATTAATCACAACAGATCCAGTATTAACGTGTCATTAAAACAATATTTAAGATGAACGTAGTCATTTTTAATTGCAGTAATCAAGCTTTCGTGCTACTTTTAGATTTCTACATTTTGCATGTCAGACAAGGCCGAGATAAACATGGCATAATCGAGATTTCGTAATAAATATTATTTTTAAACAGTCCTACTGATAAATATTTTGTGCTGTTCGTCGCTGATTGGGTGAAAACGGTGGCTGTTCAACCTTTTTTTAACCTTTTCTCTTTCCGTAGTTTCAGTGTTGCTTGACGTTGTTTTCTGTTCAGTGAATGTGGCGCACGATTGGTCATTGGGAGCGTGAATTTGAGGGGGAACTGAATCAGATACAACGCCGGGCATGTGGTTGTGTTTTGTATCTGCTGTCGTTTATCAGCCCTGTTTAACTCCTCCTTCCTTCCACAGTTGCAGCTAAAGAGCCCTTTGATAAGCAGTACAGATGTGGAGCGCCCTTGGGAAAGGGCGGTTTCGGCCCAGTATTTGCTGCTGAGAGGATCTCGGATGGCTTACAGGTGACTTAAGTACAGTCAGTGCAGCAGTGAGGATCCCAGTGTTGAAGTGTTCAGGTCTGTTAGCGTCCGCTAATTTAATCCCCCCTCAATGTGTTTCAGGTTGCAGTCAAACAAATACTCCGCGATAGCGTACAGCAGTGGGCACGACTGGTGAGTCTAAACACTTTTGCACTTTTATTCTCTCTTTTTTAACCAAAGCTTCAAAGTGATTTAGCATTTTAAAATATTCTACTGAACAGAATTAAAACTACTTGTTGTGTAGTTACACATACGTCAGGCAGTAATTATTGATATTACTGCGCTCTCTAGTGGTAGTTCATGTATTCATAACATAACGGATGAAGGTGAGTAAGAACGTTGATGGATTTTTCAAAATAACCCATGAGGAACCAAAAGCAGTTCCCCTCCTGTGGTTTTGGCGTGCAACAGGGTGTTTCTGTATTCTTTTCCCTTCGGTAAGATGTATTGTTTTAACTTGAATTCTACTCTTGGACGAAACTGTTTAGTCCGCCCACTGGAAGAGTAAAATCCTGAAGAACAGCTCTTATTGCTTTATTATCCATTGTTTAAAATTTAAAGCGGTTTTGCCGTAATCAGCAGCCAGACCTCTTCATCTCAACACTCTCTCCCCCGAATGTCTTGCACAGCCTGGTCATCCGAGCCTGGTTCCCATAGAGATCGCACTCCTGGTGCAGCTGGGAAGTGGGCCAGGAGCGGGGCCCTCTCACCGTGGCATCATCCAGATGCTGGATTGGTTTGAGATGCCAGGTCAGGCATTCTTCATCGTGTTTGAGAGACCCCAGCCTTGCCAAGACCTCTTTGATTTCATCACAGCATGTGGTGCTGTGGAGGAGCCTGCTGCACGAAGGTACAGCCGAATAAATGAACAAACGATGAATGAATGAATGGATGAATGAATAAATTAAGTAAATAAAGGCCAGAGCACAGGCACCGGCCAAACAGTACTCTTACTGAACCGCTCTACAGCTTTAACACTTCTGACTGGTTTAAACCTTTGTAGCTTTACTCACTGAGACTGAAAAAGGGCCTTCTCTTTCCAGGTTTCTGAAACAGGTCATTGAAGCCATTCAGTTCTGCCATTCAAGGGGAGTCGTGCATCGAGACATCAAAGACGAGAACATTCTGGTGGACACCCGTACTGGAGACATCAAAATCATCGACTTTGGATCTGGTGCTCTGATGAAGGACTCCGTCTACAAAGCTGTCCCTTCCTCCTCACTGTGTGGTCTTTGGGGGTCCTGCTCTTTGACATGGTCTGTGGGGACATTCCCTTTCAGCGAGACAGGGACATTGTCCGGGTTAACCTCAGTTTCACTAAGAGCGTCTCTGAAGGTGAGTTTCTTTGCTCTTCTCTCTCCTGAGAGAGTTTTTCATGTAGCCTGTTCATCTACATACACACCACACACTCCACAAACACACTCAGCACACTTTGAAGGTAGTAGGAAATTATAGGTAGCAGTGTATTTAAGGTAAAAGTGGCTTTAAGGTAGCAGTGAGGCAGGACATTTAAGGTGACAGTGAACTTAGACAACCATAGCAATCACCAACTTAGCAACACCATAGCAACCACGTTGGAACCCATAGCAACACCAAAGCAATCATCTGGCAACCACCGAGCAACACCATAGCAACCACTTAGCAACCACACAACAACCACTTAGCAACGCCCTAGCAACCGCATAGCAGCACCATAGCAACCAACTGGGATACCATAGCAACACCATAGCAACGAACTGGGATATCATATCAACACCAGAACAAACAATTAGCAACACCATAGCAACCCCATAGCAACCACCTCTGATACCGTAGCAACCACCTAGCATCCACTTAGCAACACCAGAGAAACCCCATAGCAACCAACCCTGATACCATAGCAACCACCTAGCATCCACTTAGCAACACCAAAGAAACCCCATAGCAACCAACTCTGAGCAACCAACTAGCATCCACTTAGCAACACCAGAGAAACCCCATAGCAGCCACCTCTGATACCATAGCAACCACCTAGCATCCACTTAGCAACACCTTAGCAACCCCATAGCAACTGCCTCTGAGACCATAGCAACCACCTAGCGTCCACTTAGCAACACCAGAGAAACCCCATAGCAGCCAACTCTGAGACCATAGCAACCACCTAGCGTCCACTTAGCAACACCAGAGAAACCCCATAGCAGCCAACTCTGAGACCATAGCAACCACCTAGCGTCCACTTAGCAACACCAGAGAAACCGCCGTAGAAAGTAGGAACAGCGCAGCAGGAGGTGGGAGCCGTCTAAGCTGCGCAACCGTTTCCGCGTTTCTGGTTTGAACTGTTGTTGTGTTTCAGAGTGCCGGTCTCTGATTGGCTGGTGCCTTGCCCGCCGCCCTGAAGACCGTCCCACGCTGGAGCAGATCTTGCTGCATCCGTGGATGACCGAGGGTGCGGAGGACACTGGAGACTTGAAAGTTGCGCCGGGCCTTTAAACTGGACTGAGGATGAGGCAGAAACTTCACACACCCTGTCTGATTGGACACTGGACAACTGCTGCCTGCTTATCCACACATCCTTCTGTTCCCCCTTTTCTGTTTGTTTATTTACCTATTTATTTACTTATTTACTTGTTTAATTTTTGGAAATGCTCTCGGGCATATTCTTTACCTCGTGCAGACACTTCCGTGTCCTACGCCCGAAACTCGGGCCTGGTCCGCTGCAGGTCCAGCCCCTCGTGTGCACTCTGAATCTACACCTACACGACTGCATACGTGGCTGGAGTTGTGGAGTCGGAGCTCTTTTCTCTGTTTTATTTGTTACTGGATGTTTACTGACACAGATGCATGCTGGGTATTTATGTTCTGGACTCTGGGGATGCTGAAGTTTCTGTAGCTGAAGCTCTGCTTTTGTAGGTGCTCTAACAGACTTATGGGTGTCGTGTCACTGACAGAGAGTCACTTAATGAGACTTTGGCCCTGCCTGGTTTTACAGGCCCTGTAAAAAGTTGTGTTCTTCCCTCGTTCTAAGGGGCGAAAAAAGACTTGGACCCAGTGTCCGGCTGCGTCCTCCGTTGGAGTTCTCAGGGAGTGTGTGAGAGGACTGTGTCAGGACTGTTTGCAGCACAAGAGAAGACAGAATGCTTTCTTTTCAGTTATGCTTGGTTTACCTGACACTGTTCACTAGAGCCCTCTGGGAGATGCTAACAAGGTGCCTTTCGGTTTCTGTCTTTATTACGTCTCAGGAATGTAAGCAGTGCAGCTGTTCACCTGCTGTAGTTTTGGTCAGAATGAACGTTTTGTTGTTCAGAGACAATAATTCAGTTTTTGGTTCACTTTGTTTACCAGGAGACCTCAGAGAACACCTGCCTCTACATTTGAGTGCTGCTGTTTAGCTACCAGAGAATCTCCTGAACCTGTTTGTTGTTTTAGAGCTGTATCCATGTTTAATCCACAGGACCAGATTAATGTGAGGACCTGGGCTGTTTTCAGTTGGACTTTATTTTGAGTTGTGTGAACAACAGTTTGAAATCCTTGCGGTTTTGTGGGGTTTGCACAACAACTCTGCTGTTAACGTCATTTAATATCGTTCAGTATTTGGAATTTGATATTGAATTTTATCAGTACAGCCCAGCACTACATGGTACAATTACAATAAAAATCCCAGAGCAACATGTGATTTAATTTGTTTGTTGGCCTCTTTAAAAATGCCTCATAAACATCTTTAACTGTGTAACGTCCTTAGGGTGCAGGGATGTTGTGCCTAGTAAAACCTGGTGGAATAACAAAGGCAGACTTCCTTGGAAAACACAAATATTTAGCAACAAATCAAATAATTGATTCTACAGGATTGTGTATTGTAGGTTCTATACATAAAAGATTTCTTATGGCATGAAAACACACAAATGTTTAAAATTAAATTAAAGATATGAACGTCCTCTTTTAGAATATCCACAGAAAATACATTTATAATGCACAGAAACTGAGAAATGTGAGCTTAAATTGAGCTTTTTATTGCTGATTCAAGGCTTTCTACAGCATTGTGTATTTTAGGTTCTATATATAAATGATATCCTATGGTATGGAAACACACAAATATTTAGCATCAAATCAAATAATTGAATGTCCTTGTTTAGAACACAACAAGAAATCTATTTATAATGCATGGAACCTGAGAAATGTAAGCATAAATTGAGCTCTTTTATTGCTGAACAAAACTGTATAGATTTGAAAAATTGTATGTAGCAGTCAATTACTTTCTGTAATTTCACATTTTAAATGTAAGCATAGATACCTTTTTTAATTGTAACAATAGAAAGATAGGTCTTTGGATTTTAACTGGGCCCACACAGTCTCCAGGAGGATTCTCTAAAGCTGAGTCTTCAGCCAGTGGGCTGCATTCCCAGCTTAAGTGGCTTATTGACAGCCTATTCAGTATCTGGCAACACCTTATAAAACACAAAACTGTATAGATTTCAAAATTGTATGTAGCAGTCAATTACTTTCTGTAATTTCACATTTTAAATGTAAGCATAAATACCTTTTTTTAATTGTAACAATAGAAAGATAGGTCTTTGGGACATCTGGGCCCACGCAGTCTGCAGGAGGATTCTCTAAAGCTGAGTCTTCAGCCAGTTGCAGACCCATTTTGAGAGAATTTCCTGGTATACCGTAGAGGTCAGTTTAAAACCAGATTTGACCAGTTTTGTGCAAGGCAGGACATTTGCCAATGCTGTATTGAAAGAGTACTTTAAATGCTGTGAGATAATGTAAAAAGTTTGTAATTTGTTCAGTGATAAAGTCCAATTCAGGGTGAGGCCTTCAATCTGACCTAAAAATGTAATCTGTTCTGTATCTAAAAGATTACTGTATGTTATCTGATTATTTTACTGAACTTGAAGCATGAATGTCCTCTTATAGAATATCCACAGGAAATACATTTATAATGCACATAATCTGAGAAATCTGAGCTTAAATTTAGCTTTTTTATTGTTGAACCAAGGCTTTCTACAGGTTTATGGATCATAGTTTCTATACATAAAATATATCTTATGGAATGAAAACACACAAACATTTAGCACCAAATCAATTTTGGCTGCCAGTTACTTAAAGATGCTACAGTAGAATCACTTCATAATTCATAGTACATAGTATCATAGACTGTAAACTGATGTCCGCTGGTTCTGTGGACTATTTATTGGAAATTACCATTTTATAATGTTTTAGTTTTGCTTATAATTAAAATATACAGACACTTGTGGGGATTCTGGCTGCCCATTACTTAAGGATTCTACAGTATAGTGTTCAATTCATAATAACAGTCCACCAGTCGTTGATATGTTCAGTAGATATCCTGACTGAAAAGAAAAACAATGTACAGCCTAACAGTGGAAAAACACACGTGGAAAGCCTGTCAACAATGCGCTATGTGAGTTATGCGTAGATCAAGCGCCACGAAGTGCTTCTTGAACGTGTTATATGCTTAAATCAAGCGCCAAGAAGTACTTCTTGAACGCACAGCGTGATTGGCAGAGGTGACGTAGGGCAGGGCGGGCTGCGTGTCCGACTGCGCCTCCTACAGGTCGCAGCGTTCCGCGTGTCGTAAGTTGCTGCATCCCGCACAAAGGTGAGCATTAACTCCCTCTATCCGTTTCCAGCCGCGCTTCCACTCAGACTCCTCACACAGCAGAGTTTGTTCCTCAGCTCGGCGAGGAGCTCCGCTCGTTTTTCTCTGTAGGAAAGTGTTTCTCCGCTGGGTTCGTGTCTGTGAAACGACTGCTGGGATAGGCCCCAGCACCCCACCGTGACCCGGAAGGAT